TGTGTTTTTTTTTCCCCCCCCCCCCCCCCCCCCCCCTTTTTTTTTTTTTTTTTGCTCTGAGGTGAGGTCTCTGGCAGGAACTCATCCTAGACTGAACAAAGCCCTAAACAGAGCGAAATATTTAAGTAAATGCTTGGATTAGAGGATTAGCCAAAGCTATCATTCCAGGATAGGGTGATCTATCTCACTAGGAAATCCTCTGACACACTGGCTGTCCAGAGATTGTTGGATTCAACGAAGCTTCACGTCAAAAACATTTACCATGTGTTTAATAAGACAGCACAGCCCCGAATTGCTTTAACTCTGGTGGACTATATCCAACTTGGTGCTGTTCAGGCAAAAGCTTCTATTACAGATTTCTTAGCTACATTGTTGCAGTTCCTTTATTCCTGTGATGTCAGCAATAATGCAAGGCAATAACAGTCATTTAAACAGGCTGGATTTGAGCGCTTTAGGTCAGGAATAATACCTTCTCTTTCTTGCTCTTGTAAACTACCAGCATTTATAAACCAAAGATATCACAGAGCTATACGCAAAAGCAAATAATTCAAAATTTCCCACCGTGACAGTACTTTAAGCCTTATTTGAATAACACAATTCCTTTTATCAGTGCAAAGACTTGAGGAAAGATTTAGAAAGGAAGAGAGCAAAATTGCACTGGTTTTGCAAAACCCAGAAGCTATAGCACAAATCCTAAACTGTCACTTGGCCTACTACAATGCAGTTACTCCCAAAGTACTAACTCCTCCCTCTCCCCCTCCCTCCTGTAGCCAGACTTACAGCAAAAATGGCTGAGGAGAGTATTTTCCCAGCAAGACTGTTCTGACTGTATCCTTTTTATGCAAGTGGTGAAGACTGACGGATGCACCAAATGAGAATTCAGCGAACCTAAATCCCCCCTCAACCTGCTCCCACTTACGGTCACATTGGTACGTGCAATGGAGCTCAGCTTTGTGGTACGCAGAAGCCCTTGGATCCAGTATGGAGAGAGAAGGAAAGAGCACCCAGCCCATCCAAAAAGGCCCATGTGGTTGATTGTTTAAAAGACAATATCCTATTCTGTGCAGCATGATTCATGGAAGGTTAATACCAGTAAAAAAGCATCAAGAAAAGCAACCTTTTTCTTTTGACTTTTATTCAGTTATTGTACATTAAATCTGAGATATTAAATGTGCTGGGACTTCAGGGGTATAGACACACAGTAAAATCAAAGTGTAAGATCCCATGGCTGACACTCAAAACAGCATTCATATAGCTAAGACAGGTAACCATAGCAGCAGAAAGTAAGCAGCAGAGACTTTAGCACAGTATATACAACATCATAGCAGCCTTGTGTACATACTCAGTTGCTAGCCAATACTATTGCTTCCACTAGGCATCTGTTTCCTGTTCTACCTGTGTTAAAGGTAGCACAAGTACACTGGCCACACTACAATCACATCTTCATGTTGTTGTGCAAATTAACTGAGACAATTTCTTCTCTGTGCTGCTTTTGCAGGAACTAGGGTAAATCCTTATACCAGGATAAAAGCAAAAGTACACCCTAGCCTTACACTTCATTCTGCTTTCAATTTTTCAGGGTTGTTTCTGCAGAGAGGCCAAACACCGCAGACCCTATTTATTTAGCAAGCAATAATCTCAACCTTCTAGTTTCCACTTTCTAGCTTAATTCAGTACAAAAGTAAGTAGCTTGCACAGTAACAGTTGTCACAACATGCTATTAAAATTAGAGATCTGATTCAAAAACCTAAAGATTAACCTTCCTTCAGGAACCATAAGCAACAAGTGACAGTGTCAAAGAGGCACAAATGAACATCAGGATTCTTGAACGTCCTTTGACCATTACATGACCACAATAGCACTAGAGGAGTGAGAAGGCTGCACTCAATGCACTGCTTGGAAGATGAACTCCCAGATGTAATAAATAAATAAATAAATAAATAAAATGCAATTAGAAATGCAGAAAGAGAAGACTTTCATTCACTGGCTGAGAAGATTCATGCCTCTGCTGCTCCTCCTTTCCCAAGGGCAACAACCAAAGCTCTTCTGCAGTTCTCCAACTTCCTTTCTCCCATGTCCATGTTCGGCTGACAGGCAACACTACCCCTAAATGCAATACACTGTTTGTTTTATTTTGTTTATCATTAAGGCTTGTCACTTTTTAGAACTATAGTCTTTTGGATTCTCTCCCACAAAAAAAACTGTCGTCCATGCTTCGGCTTGTGACACCTTCTTCTTGAACTGCACACAACAGCATGCCAAATATGAATGTGCTGGCTCCTGCTTTTTAAACCTCATAAGGTAGAAGCAAAGCAGCAAGCCATGAGTTTTTTTTTTCCATAATATTACTGGAGAAAATAACATTAACAGCTTGTATAGGAAGTGTATTTATACTATATTACATTTACCCATTACAAACAACTTGATTGGTTATAAAGGATTCATCAGCAGCGGTGTTGGGGAAAGGACACCAATGAACAAGAAAAACAGGTAAATATAATAATTATCGATAAAACCTTTCTGTCATCCACTAAGTATTTGGTACTTGTTGCAAAAAAATTGGCATAAACTTCACTACTTGTATTTATCCACCTCTAAATCTGCATCTAGAATCTGAGCACACCAAGAAGACTTCTGATTTTCCATTTTTTTCATGGTCTGAAGATTTAGCTGTACAGAGCTCAATGCAAAGTCTAGCACATAGCCGACTACAAAATCAACTTTCAGGGGTGTTGAGTAATCACAGAAGAATATTTCTACAAAACAATCCCTTATGAGCCTAACTGAGCCAAGTCGAAAGCTTAAACAAATCAGGCACAAATCTTTTCTTAACTTGAAACTGTCACAAACAGAGGGGAGGGAAGTTGTTTCTTAGGTTCCCAGCCCTGGAGCTGGGCCTCAATGCAAGTCAAATATCAGACATCAGTAAAACTGGGGGACTCCTCTCTAACTGCTATTAAAATTTATTCTACCTAGAAGGTAGAACTCTGTATTTAAAAGTGAGCACTAATTTTGGTACCAGATCAGATTTGGTCTGTCCTCTACAGCATAAAAGAGGCATGTGATGGTTTTTCATTTTATTATCACCTCTCTTTCCTTACTCACATGTAACATAGTAAATGCACGCATTCTCTCTCTCTCACACACACACTGCTAGTTCATTTGACAGGGACTGCACTGCATTCCATTTAAGAGGAATTTTATTCTTTATTACACATATTTGAGGTAATTAAGTAAGCAGATCCCCAAGATTTCAAGAAATGCTGTGCTGAATCACAACAGAAGTTATGGTCACACTTTCCTCCCCTTCCCTTTGCAAAGGGGAAAAAGTTCACATTATTCTCTTTTGGTTATTTCCACTGTTGCTAAAAAACACTTTGTAAGCAGTAAATTGAGGACTTTTCAACTTTGATGAATGGTGTCCACATAAAAATAGCTTGGAAAAAGAAAATAAATTATCTGCAAATTAACCCTTTTCATTCTGACCCACAACTATTTAAGTCATTTATAACCCACATTTTTTATCTAGTCACATCCATCCAGTGCTGCCTTTGAACCTTTCTTCCACAGGACGTTTCAAATTTGCCAGCAGAAGAGACACACCTTTGCTTTCTACACAGCCATTTTCTTCCATGCTCTAAAAAGTAAGATGTAATAAAATTAGGAATCAGAGCACATGACACGTTGCCAAAACAAAGGTTGGAAAGATACCATCTTCCTTTCATTTTCCATGATTAAACTCCGGAGGTCAGAGAGCCAGGTTCATCACCAGGCCGCACTGACACCCTGAAGCCTTGAGTCTGAGTCACAGCCAGGGGAAGGCAGCCCTGCAGTGCAAAAGTGAGGTATCTGCCCTCCTGCAGAGAGAGAAAATCTGGAGTAGCTCCAGCCCAGCTGGATTGCTTGTTACTGTTGTCTGGCTAAAGAAGTCCTCAATATCTGATAGGCTTGGCTTTAAAAAGCCAGACAGATCCAGAGCATCTAAATGCAGAGTGTAAACGAAGAAGAAAAATTAAACCTTACTTCCTTCTTTTATCCGTTCAAA